ACACAAAAAAAGGGTACGGTTTATTTTGACATACAAAAAAGGGAAAAGGGCAAAATAGGTTCTTCCTCTTTTGAGGGCTCGGTTCAACAGGCTGTTCGGCCTTCAGTCCCCTTCCTGCGGGAAGCACAGAAAACAGGATTTACACTCATTCCAAAACCCCCCCAGCGTGAGGCCATCTCCTATACGTCTAGTTCCCCAGGCTGCATGAATGGGTGGTCCTTTATAGTGTGGGGGGGCGGGGGGGCGTTTCCCCTTCTCACCTGACCTCTGGCTCGTCGGTGCCCCAGACCTTGGTGCTGATCTCTTGAGGCGCTGTCCAGGGTGCTGATTCGTGGGTTGCCACAATATAAAGAAGAATGTCATTCTCTCTGCTAACAAACATTGACGTAATACCTCTTCAGGCCAGAGCTCAGCTTCACCTCGTCCTTCTCATCTTCATGTTAAACTGGTGCGATGGGCTGCAGTCCGTATTCCACTTAAGAATGAAAGCAAAGGTTCAGTTCATTGAAGGAGAAACGTGCTGCTCATCAATCCAGCACATTGTTTGTCCATCCAGACACTAATCTGGAAAACGCCTTTTGAAGTTACAGCAAAAGAAAACCAGGATGAAATTAAAGGTGATTATGATACGTTACAAGTTTTTGACTTCTGTTTTTCTGTTTTGTTTGTTTGTTTGTTTGTTTTTTACGTTCTGTGCTTCAAACTGATTTGAGTGTATTCCTCGTTAACACGTATTAGTTCTGAGGTATAATAACTTTAGGAGACATACCTCAGGCAGAACGTTGTTTTCATGCACGTTGGCGCCGTTGATGGCCGCCACGGTGCTTCGGTGCGCTTCGTTTGTTGTTGTTTTTGTTGTTAATTACGTTTCCTGCTGCGATTCCCGGAGCTCTTTCACCAGAAATGAGCTCTTGAACATCCGTGGAACAAGTTACTTCCAACTTTCCTGCTTTCTTCCGTGGAATTACTGCACATTCTAGTCAAAGGTGCGCTCACCTTTCGTCACGGACTCCGCGCTCCAGCTGGCGGGCTTCCAGCTGCTCCGAGCGGACCGCGACACGGAGCTCTCCGGCAAGACGAAGGGTGGAGGAATCTGCTTCTACTCCAACAGCAGCTGGTGCAACGACGTAACGGTGACCCTAAAACACTGTTCTCCTGATCTGGAACCTTTCTCCATCAACTGCAAACCCTTTTATTCCCCCCGTGAGTTCGCTTCATTCATCCTGGTCGGTGTTTACATGCCGCCGGCGGGCAACGTGCACGAGGCTCAGCGGACACTCGCCGACCAGATACGGCGTGTGGAGCGGACCAACCCGGACTCTTTAGTTATTGTCCTCGGGGACTTTAACAAAGGAAATCTCACCCATCAACTTCCTAAGTACAGACAGTTTATTAAATGCCCACCAGAGAGGAGAACACGCTGGATCATGTAGGATATTAGAAATAAACTGACGACCCGGTTCATAAAATGAATAAAATGCATATAGTGTACACCAGAATACAGCCATGATTCTGAAACTGAGTCATCAATAAAGTAATGACAATATTGTAAAACCTGTGATTGTAATACATATAGAACCACCATCACATAGAACCACCATCACATAGGACCACCATCACATAGAACCACCATCACATAGGACCACCATCACATAGGAGAGGGTAATGTTGGTTCATGATGATGGACTAAGACCTCCCGCCACACCCACAGTTTCTTCCCGTCGGCAGTCGGGCTCGGCAGGCACGTGCACAGATGCAACATTAGATGACGTCACAACTGGTCCAACGTTTCCTAAAAAATATACAAACAAAAAACTGTGATTTCAAAGCCTCGTCCAGTTGATTACTGACGTTTGTATCTCTCTCTTCATTAAACGTGACAGACAGGCAGAGAATTTAAAGGCAGTTTTACAGTTCTACAAATTAAGAGGTAGGTCTTAAGTTGGGCTACAGTCTGGTGTATTATTAGTGTAATGCTGCTTATGCTTACAAAAATATTTGTGTGTGTCGTCAACTTTTGATTATTGTGCACAACATTAATTGATCTCATTCACAGAATGTGCAGCTTAATGCAAAGAGAAGAGAGACTCCAAAAGCAGAAAGACACTTCTGCCCTTTTGGTTTGAGCACCTGCCCCCCAAACTGTCTGAAGCTTGTTTTAATCTTCCCAACAATCACCATGTTTTCATCACTAAGAAGTTTCTTTAGAGGAGCGCTTCATATGTTCACTGGGAGCCTTTTTCATCTCCACGTTACCTGAAGGACTTAAAGGGAGGAGGCTGCAGTCTGCAACCTCACCACTAGATGTCACTAAACACTACACACTGTCCTCAACAGACACTTTCATACTGTAATGGTAATGTATGAACAATAAATGAATAAAGCAACATTTGTGTGAGTTGACAGCTTGTTTGTGTTGTTTGTGTCCTGCAGTGAATGTGAGGAAGACGTATGAAGAGCTGCAGAGAGGACATATTTATCTACATGTTAACAGGAGGACGTCACACTGCAGCCTTTCACTTAATGTGAATTATTACAGAGAATGAAGAGACGTTTATGCTGCTTACAGGTTCATCAAGATGATCTTCACATATTAACAACACTTTTATGATGTTTCCTTTTAGCAGAAGTAAGACGTTAACATTAAAGCAGCTTCTTGTTCTGCAGCTCATGCATACTAATGACGGAAAGAGGAAGGAAGCTCTGCTGGGTGTTGAACAGCAGCTTGTTACCAACTCCAGAAGAGACGAGCTGACCTCAGAGACATCAGCCTCCTCTTTAATGTAGACGTGTTTCTGGTGACTTACTGAATAAAGAGTTTCTGATCTGCTGATTGAACACAGAGGAGCAGCTATGAGTCCATCAGCCGGTGGATTAGTCGTCTTCCTTCTCTCTGTACAAGGTACTGTACTTCTACATTTATATTGTGAGGCCGTTACACACCTCACACACACACAGGGAGCTGTGTTTTTACTTCACACACAGGTCTGATGTCATCACACACAAATAATGACTAAATGAACATTAACAAAGAAGAAATGCTCTGAATAATTTGTCTCTGTTGAACTTCCTCTAATCGTTCAGCAGCGTTTCTTTGCATTAGACCACATTTAGAGGCTGTTATTCACTCCGAGTCTCTGACGACGTTTGTTCTTCTTTTTGGAGCATTTTATTGTGTATTTGTGGTCATTTTTATTCTCTTCCTGGTTGTTTACTGTCACGGTGTGGTTCACTTCATGTTATATTTTGTAGTTTTCTGCCACTCGTGTCCCCGGGTAACTTCACTTCCTGCCTTCTCCCGTCATCCCCTGTGATCGTCTTAATAGTTTCCACCTGTGTCCAATCACCTGCACCTCCCTTGTGTATTTAAGCCGTGTGTCTCTTGTGTCACTTGTCGCGTCATTGTCTTTTGCCACGCATCTTCTTGTCTTGCGTCTTGGATGTCCGTAGTTTCTTGCCTGTGTGCTTTTGCCCCCGGTTCCTGTGTTTTTTGACTATTAAAGTCTTTTGTTTCGGAGAAGTCTGCATTTGAGTCTTGCCTTCCACCCAGACCCCTGACAGTTCAGTGTCTCTTTGAGGGACATTTTGTAGCTTTGACCTGTGTCACAGATAATTGATTCACTGCCGGATGCTGAGCGCCGTGTCATCAGTGAGGTTTGATCTATATGTCACAGTATCGTTCCCCTCAGAGTCCATGTGGACATCGTGGACGCTTTCATTACTTTCTATAAACTCAATGATTTTCATATTTCTCATAATATCTTTTCTCTTCAGTAAACTACCAATGAGAGTGTGTCCTGTGATGTTGTTCTGAGTGTGACTGTGGTTCCTGATGTGCTGTGTTACAGTGATACAGAGTCAGGATGGATGGAGAGTGAATTACGATCAGACTGACATCTGTGCTGCAAAAGGATCAACAGTGGAAATAAGCTGTGACATCACACACCCATATGGAATATATTACTCTGATATAAAGGACAGATTCTGGTTGACTAAAGAGAAATATGGTGAACCTGTGGATCTGAGAACAGACTCTGAGTATTCAGGCCGTGTGACGTATGCATATTCTAGTGATTGGAAGAGTTGTTATCTGACCATCACAGACGTGAGAGAGAGCGACTCAGCTAAGTACAAATTGAGATTCATGACAAACAGACCGAGAAAGAAATATACTGGTTCACCTGGAGTCACTTTGTCTGTCACAGGTAACATTTTAATTCACATATTAATCATCTACAAATGTTCAACATCTAGAAAACTAGAGTATAAATGTCTTCTGTGAATGTTGACACTTTAATAAATAATATTCACTGATTCAGGTTTCCAGGTGCAGGTGAGAAGATCAGATTCTACCTGGTTGGAGCTGACGTGTCACAGCAGCTGTGTTCTGTCTGATCGTGCTGAATACGTCTGGTCCAAGAATGGAGAGAACATCAAGAGAGGATCTTCTCTTTCAGTCTCCTCTGGTTCTACAGACAGATATTACTGTTATTTAAGAGGATCTTATAGTCAACGTTCTCCTGCAGTGTGTAAGTTCACTCCACTGTGTCGGCCTGTGGAGCTTCACCAACATCTCACATGGAGGCACCAGACCGCTGCATGTAAACTAGAGGCATCAAAAAGATGAAGCACAACGTTCCTCAGGAGGTGGAGCCGTGGTCCACTGACCAGAGGGTTGCTGGTTCAATCCCCGGCCCCTGCAGTCTATGTGTAGAAGAGTCACTCACACACTGACACAACAATATGATTCTAATCACAGCTGTAAACACACTGGAGTCTAAATGTTAAAGGAGACACAGATCTTTATTTATGTCATTCTCTTATTAATAGAAACACAAATATAAACTATCAGCAGACAGAATAATGTGATTTTCATAAAGACTCAAGTGAATTATTCCAGAACATAAGTAGAAGTGACGTGTCAGCTGGTGGAGGAAACAATCAATAACTCCTACAACAACTAGAAGTGAGAGGACAGACTCAGCTAAGGACACAAGCAGCATCTAAAGAGAAGAATGTGTGGAGATATGAACATTACAAAGGATTAAAGGCTAACATCTTCTAACCTCTTAGTATGTTTATTCACGTCTCCTCCAGATGGTCCACAGCGTCCCTCTGTGTCAGTGAGTCCCTCTGCTGGGATGCTGGAGGGCGATTCAGTGACTCTGACCTGTAGCGCTGATGCTAACCCAGCAGTTAGCTACACCTGGTACAAGGAGGATGGAACGTCAGACCCTCGTCTTCTCAGTGAAGAACCTCAGCTGGTCTTCAGCTCCATCCAGTCCTCTGACTCTGGAAATTATTCCTGTACAGCTGAGAACCAGCTGGGGAGGAAGACGTCTGACTTCATCTCTATCAACGTGAAATGTGAGTGAAACAACCTTTTTAAAAGCAACATAATCACTACTGAGGTAGTGTTTTGTTATTAATGTCTATTTATTGAACTCTAACTTGTAACAATATGTTGACACGTCTCCTCCAGATGGTCCACAGCGTCCCTCTGTGTCAGTGAGTCCCATTGCTGAGATGCTGGAGGGCGGTTCAGTGACTCTGACCTGTAGCACTGATGCTAACCCAGCAGCTAGCTACACCTGGTACAAGGAGGATAGAACTTCAGACCCTCATCTTCTCAGTAAAGAACCTCAGCTGGTCTTCAGCTCCATCCAGTCCTCTGACTCTGGAAGGTATTCCTGTACAGCTGAGAACCAGCTGGGGAGGAAGACGTCTGACTTCATCTTGATCCCTGTGAAATGTGAGTGAAACACAACCTCTTTAAAAGCAACATAATCACTACTGTCAAGTTCTCCAGGTGTTAAATATATTCATCTCGGCCCAAACTTGAAAATGGCTTGTTTAACCCAATTATCACAAGGGGACAACTCGGATCTGTTTTGGTCTTTTATTTTCAATCGGAATGGTTGTGGGAACCGGAATAGCTTGATAACCTTAAAACAAAAATAGTAGACTAAATTCTACATCAAAGACTTTCCAAAATAATAATTCATCATTAAACACCATTCTTTACCACATTAAGTAAATACACTAGCAAATCCAATTCAAAGAAGTATTTCCATTACAATTTAAACTTCTACTTTTCCTTTTACGGGTAAAAGATCAAAATCAACAGAAAATGGCAAACAAACTATTGCCTCAAACAATATTTGAAATGAATAAAATCCATAGCAGTTGCGTCTGTGGTCGAACATGAGCGGCTGTTCCGACACAGATCCTCTCCAGGTTACCCGGTAGGTACGGCCGTTGAGGTAGGACGAGAGAAGGGAGAAAGCAGAGCCTGAGACACAAAGTTCATGAAGGGAGGAAATAAGGATCTGGTGGTTGACTGTGTCTAATGCAGCAGAGAGGTCCAGAAGGATGAGGACAGAGGAGAGAGAGGCGGCTCTAGCAGTGTGGAGTTGCTCTGAGACAGCAAGGAGAGCAGTCTCTGTGGAATGGCCTTGAATCCTGACTTGTGGAGGTCAAGGGGGTTGTTATGGTGGAGATAGGAGGAGAGTTCGTTAAAGATACACGTTCAAGGGTTTTGGATAAAAAGGGAAGAAGAGAGACCGGTCTGTAGTTGTTTGGTCTGTAGGTTTGATGGTGGGTTTCTTCAGAAGGGGGTTGACTCTCGCCTCCTTCAGAAAATTGGGAAAACAGCCAGATAACAGAGCATTGTTGATGAGAAAGGTAAGGAAAGGGAGGTCAGGTGCGTAGATTGTAGAAGATGTGATGGAATGGGGTCAAGAGGGCATGTGGTCGGACGGGCAGAGGTTAATAGAGTAAGAATTTGGTTAGGAGACAGGGGGGTAAAAGAGGAAAGTGAGGGTGATAGAGGTGAAGTCAATGGGACGCAAGAAGTAGGAGGTGGGTTTGAGAAAGAGGAGTGTATGTCATGAACTTCTATTTATTTAACTGTAACTTGTAATAATGTGTTGACACGTCTCCTCAAGATCTTCCACAGCGTCCCTCTGTGTCAGTGAGTCCCTCTGCTGAGATACTGGAGGGCGATTCAGTGACTCTGACCTGTAGCACTGATGCTAACCCAGCAGCTAGCTACACCTGGTACAAGGGGGATGGAACTTCAGATCCTCATCTTTTCAGTGAAGAACCTCAGCTCGTCTTCAGCTCCGTCCAGTCTTCTGACTCTGGAAGGTATTTCTGTACAGCTGAGAACCAGCTGGGGAGGAAGACGTCTGACTTCATCTCTATCGATGTGAAATGTGAGTGAAACAACCTTTTTAAAAGCAACATAATCACTACTGAGGTGGTGTTTTGTTATGAACATCTATTTATTGAACTCTAACTTGTAACAATATGTCGACACGTCTCCTCCAGATGGTCCACAGCGTCCCTCTGTGTCAGTGAGTCCCTCTGCTGAGATGCTGGAGGGCGGTTCAGTGAATCTGACCTGTAGCGCTGATGCTAACCCAGCGGCTAACTACACCTGGTACAAGGAGCATGAAGACTCACCACGAGCATCAGGACAGATCTTCACCATCAATGACTTCACAGCTGAACACAGTGGGAATTATTACTGTGAAGCCCAGAACGAGATGGGACGTAGTAACTCCACCTTACGTCTGATTACTTCTTCAGGTAAATCACACTCATTCTTCTGTTCTCTCACACATTACATCAACAATCCAACTAAATAAGTGACTCACAGTAAACGCGGCCTTTAGCTCCTGTCCTCCACTCAGTGAAGCAGGAGAGCATTGTGGACTAGAAGGTGAACCTGAGATGATACACTATGACCCCACTGAGAATCAAACCCTGGACCCTCGGTTCACCACTTTAAAGCTTCACCAGCTGAGCGTCCTGCAGACATCACGTGGTCTGATGCTGCGAAGTCTCATCAAATGATGAAGTCAGAAGTGGAAGGAACAAGAAGAGTCACGTTAGAAGAGATGAAGATGTTGATACCTGAACAGAGTCTGTAGCTGTAAGAATGCAGGAGCAGCTCAGTAAGAGAAACGAGTCTGGAACAAACACAATGCTGTTAGCAACACAACAGTTAGCTACCATGCTAACTAGTCAGCTTTGAGTATTATAGTATTTTTGGGGGTTTGAATTGTTTCTCCAAAACGTCTCCTGATCGAGTGTGTTTAGTTTGTGTAGCAGTAAACACTCTACAGTTGCCATGGCAACAGGACACAATAAAATGGCCGCCGCTGTGACCATCCAGCTACGTTGTTTTGATAAGACGTTCTACTCATGTTTAGTTTGAGTTAAAGTTCATCATCTGCATAGAGCAGATCTTAAGATCCCAGATATTCTGTTTCACTGACTTAAACATCTTATTTCCGTCCTGTTGGTAATTAATTCACCTTCCATATTTAATACTTTATATTTGTTGTTTATTTTCTCTCCTGTGTGGGAAAAGGAGCCTCCCCATGGCCAATAACAACAGCTGTTTTTGCGTTAACATCTGCTATTTTCCTGGTGATCATCATGATCCTCGCTGTCCTCATGATCAGGTGAGCGGTTCAACTTCACTGATGAAATGTAGATGTGGATCTTACATTCACGCATTTGTTGAATCACTTGATTCGATCTTTTGTTTGTTCATTAATACATTTTTCTGCCTGAAGAAAAAAGTCTCCACAAAGCAGCCGGCCTGCAGAGAGACTAGAGAACAACGCTCAGGTGAGGAGGAAGAGCTCGTTGTGGAGGCCTCTGGGAACATCTGGGATCATCATGTCAGGCCTGTGAGGCGGGGATTTAAAAGCCAACAATTAAAATATAATACAAATTCATTTAAATTAGGAAATAAAAGTTACCAGCAACACTGGGAGTTCAACTCCAGGTAAAAACCGGCCCACTGGGAGGTTTTGTCAGGTCCCTCTAGTTCAGCCCACTCCTACGTCCTGGTTCCTCTTCAAACCATCTAGACACCAGCTGTCGCTCCCACACGATGACAGTTTGTAGATGGAACTTCATTAACCTCAATGACGTTAACTACAACCATTAAACACATGAGACCTCCATGAGAACCTGTAGGGCCCAAAGGAGTCATTAGAGAACAAGCCCTGCAGATATTCTACTATCTGGTCCTTTGTACTTCAGTCCAACAATACTATCCAATAAGTACTTCTTGTTCTTTGATGCAGATCCCACCAGCAGAGCCTTGCTATGCTACCGCGAGCTTCTCCAGAAACCAGGAGGATCTTCTTCTCTACTCCAACGTCAGTCCAGCTCGCCCCCCCAGACGCAAGGAGGAGGTGGAGGAAGTTCTGTACTCACGTGTCAACTTTGAGAGTTCTGGTGCTGCCAGCGAGTGAGTCAGTGACAATCTTTACTGAATATGGATCCGTCTCTGCTTTGATCATCACTGTTTTATTGCTGTTTAAACGTGTTAATGATTAATATTCTGAGTTTACGGTTCTTTCACAGACGGAGATGTGAAGGAGCTGTGGATGATTCTTCTGCTCTGTACAGCACCGTCAGCAAAGCACCAAGAGAATGAACCCACACAGATATGTGGTCTGTTACTGTACAGAGTTTAAGCAGCTTAAACACACCTGCATGAATATGAGGTTTGACATGTTGTATATTCACCATCGTTAAGGCTTCCATCAGAGAAGCATCAGGGAGCCAATGGGAGGCCAGCTTGTAGTCTGTAATCAGCCTTTAGATGTTACTAATCAGCAATATGTTACTACCAGTTCTATACAAGCATCTTCAGCTACATTTATCTGCAAATAGTCTTTACCAATATTGCCAATATGCTTCTATTGATTCTCATAATATTTACTGAACTTTTTGTTTTGTATGAGAACTTGTCTCAACTTAAAATGGCAGAATTGGACTTTCAGAGTGTTTTAAGCACCTAGTGGTAGAAATGATAATGTAGAAATGTTTAGGGTAGAATTGTAGTTTGTGTGTTAGATATTAGTTATTACATTAGCATGTTAGATGAATTGACTGCAATATGAATCAAACCCAATTCATAGTCATTATAGTCATATAATTACTGCACACATTTACCTGCTACAATGTAACGTTAAGACTTGGAGACGGATGCTAATTGCCGTCCTTGATGGATTCCAAAGAGTTTTTTCTCCTGTCAGGTAGTAGATGAGCAAAGTTTGTACGACAGCCCTGCGAGGCAAACATTCTGATTTTGGATCATATAGAACTGAGTTAAACATAATGGTTCAGATGTGATGATCTAAGATGTGTTAAGTTTACTCGCTATTAGATGATGAGATTATGGATGCTTTATTATGTTTGTGAGGAAGCTTTAGGCCAAAGGTCTGATCCATGAATGTACTGTAGTATGAAGTGAACAGGGATCGATCAGGTCACTGAGGGATCTCAGATTCAACCATCAGAGGGAGTCACGGGGCGGCTTGAATGTGCAGCCAATCACATACGACAGCAGATTGGGCTGAGCTGGAGAAGGAGCAGGCAGAAGCCTCCTGTGAACCATTACTGATGGTCATATGGACGAGGGGACTTCTCTATTTCAGTTTTAAAGTAACGGTTTTAAATAAGATTTAGTTACAGATAATAGAATACAAGAGGTTCTACTAAGTGGGGCAGTTGTGGTTGTGCCAAACAAAATGGAAATTAAGATAACAGAAATAGAAAGAATTAGAACGAAACAAATTGGCTTCCCTTACTTCTCTAAGAACGTCCATCAAAATACAGAGGGAGCACCAACCACTAACCTGGAGTCCCTACGTGATGCACACGTGTACAAGGTACAAACGTACCAACTGTCCTCAACCTCTCACCACAAACCTGCACTTCTTGTGCGTGCATGACAACTAAAGGAACACCTGCTCCAGATCTCCCTTTTAACAGCAGGGCCCTCAGGTGATTGGCGGCTCTCTTCAGGAACTCAGGTGCAGGCAGATCGGCACCTGAAGGGAAAAACAAGGGAGGAGGGGCAACACAGACAGTAGTGACACGGACGTTAGTGTAAGAGTGTTATCGCCTCTCGTAAACATGTTGATTGTATTTTGTATTATTACGCAGAATCTGCTAATTGATTTGTGACTGAAGCTGTCACATTGAGGTATTACGTTGTTCATTCTGTCCTCATGACGTCATCGTAGTCCGTCCATCAGGAGACGGATCCTCCTCTCACGCTCTCACTGAGGTTTCTTCCCTCAGGTTTTCCTGTGTAGATGTGATGTTTGGGGACAGAGGATGTCGCATGTGTACAGACTTTAAAGCCCTCTGAGGCACATTTGTAATTTGTGATTTTGGGCTATTCCAAATGAAATGAATTGAATTCTCCTGTGGTTTTGGAGCAGATGTGTAACAGATGTGTTGTGGGAGAAGATTGAGATGATCAAGTAAACCTCAAAGTGGTGATTACCACTGCTAGTAAACCTGTTACAAAGGAAGTGGCTTAACCTGAATTATAGTTATTTTTGAGCAGTGTTTTAAAATGACTACTTCACTCTTGATTTATTCCCTCAGTAAACATTGTAAACATGAGTTTATGGTCTCAGTCTCTAGTTTCAAGTCTTCTTCAATACAACATGATGTTCATTTAGTAAATTATGGTCCATTTAGAGCCAACTAAACACATATTTATTCCGTTTATACGCTCTGCATTGTGGTAGATTTCTCTAGTTCTTCCTTGTAGTTCTTCCGTGTCAGACCTCAGTGAACATTTGTTCATCTCAACTCGGGGGTTTACAGCCAGCTGCTCATGCATGGTAATTATCTAAAGGGGAAGCAGGACTTTTTCATCAGCTGATACAGACACACGTTGTCTTTCAGTCCCACGTCCCTCTCTTGGACAGCTGATAGTGGAGGACGTGTTTTAACAGAGAGGGATGAGCGGAGGAGCTGAGAGTGGATCAGTCATCTTCCTCCTGTCTGCATTCATATTCATCACATTTATATCTGTATCACAGAGCCTGAGTCGCCATGAAGGCTTTTATTAGGAACACGAATGACCAAAATACTTAGAAAGTTTCACTTCCCCCTTTGTCTCTTTCTCTGAACCGTCACACCCTAACGCTCACCACAAACACCACCATTTTACTTTCTGCTAATTACTATTCAGTTTCCTTTTCTCTATAGAAAAAGATGTGCACCTGCACCCCTTCTGCTGTGATGAGTGTGATGGTGGTTTGTAGTTTCTCTTCCAGTCATTCGGGGTCAGGATGGCTGCAGAGTTACTTACGGTTCCTCTTGGATCTGTGGATTAAACGGATCCACCTTGGAGATGCACTGCAGCTACACCCCCCCCCAGAACCAATGAGGGGTCACAGCAGACCAGAGGGCCTTCTGCTTTACTGACAGGCAGCACGGACACCCGGTGGACCTGAGAACGGACCCGGGACACGCAGAGGACAGTTAGCTTAGCATACCGCTGCTCTCTGAGGATCAGCGGCCTGAGAGGCGGCGACTCGGCTGTGTACAGGTGTGCTGTGTTCATGTTCACCACAAACCAACCGGACAGGAAGTACACCGGCGAACCGGGGGTCCGTCTGTCCGTCACAGGTAACGGATCCAAGCACTCAACACTTGGGAAGCTGCTGGTGTCTCTGAAGGGATTCTTGTTTCATGGTTTTACAAATGCAGGTTTGCAGGTGGAGATCAGCAGATCAATACCTTTGTCACGAAGCGGGTGCAGGCAGAGGCAGGACTCAAACACAGAGTTTTGGGAAACAACAAAAAGACTTTAATGGTCAAAATTCCAAAATGCCAAGGCGGGGACCAGGAACGAAGCACCACAGGACCCACAAACATGCCGACACCACCTCTGACATGCAGACACCGAGGCGACAGGAGACGCACAGGGCTTAAATACACTGGGAAGGTGCAGGTGATTGGACACAGGTGGAAACAATCACAGGACAAGGTAGGAAGTGAAGTTACCCGGGGACACGAGGGGCAGAAAACTACAAAATAAAACAGGAAACAACCCAAACCGTGACGACCTTGTTATGGAAAGTGTACATCAGCAGACCTGACGGGTCAGAGCAGTCGTCCTCGACCTCGTCCAACCTTCTACAGCTGGTACAAGAACGGAGACAAAATGATGATGAAAGAAACAAAGATTTGGGGCTACTTTTATTCTTTTTCCAGGTCCTGCAACAAAGTGACGTCATCATTCAGTGGACATTTCTGACTTCTAGATATATCACATCTAAGTTCTGGTGCAGCTCTCTGCATGGTGGTCGTTGGAGGCATCTCGCTCAACCAAAGGACCTTCGTGAAGACTCTCAGGACGAAGGTCGCGTTGAGGTCCTTGATACCGAGTCATTGAAACACTGAGAATCAAAGATCTCGCACGACGACGATTCAGCCGAGTAGCGTTTCATATCACAGCATGAAGCCTGAAGGGATCAGCGGTTTACCTTGCAACCACTTTGACCGTCAAAGGTACGAAGAATAAAATCTATCAAATGCTCTGACAACATGTACCTTACTCACTAAGATACAGTAATAGCTGCATGCATGGCTTCATACCATGAATGTTCTGTGTTGAAACACATCACTGCTGCTGGATCTCACCTTTTCTTACCGAATGGTTCACAGATCCAGATGTGCAGGCGCAGGTTGATCTGGTCTCCTGGGGGTCCGAAGCTGATTTGCCACAGCAGCTGTGCTCCTCATGGCCGCCCGTCCTTCGATTGGTGCCTCAACGGAACCACAAAGGTTGAGGGTGGATCGTCTCTTTCTTACGAAAGGATCCGTTGACGCCGCCGACAGTTTCTCCTGCGCTTACCAGAGCCGCCGCTCCCCTGCAGTGTGTGAGTCCCCCCCCCTCATGACACGACCACAGCCGCCGGGATCCATGTGATGTCACTCACGCTGGCTGCTGAGGAGAAGGACGCGTCCACTGTGCAAGTGTTCCGGGGATGAAGATTGATGAACACACTAATACATCTTGATACGTTTTTCTGTGAGTGCAGGTTGAATGGAAGAAGAAGACGTCTATTGTGCTACCGGTGCTACTTTTCTAATGTTAGTTAAAGTGTTACCCACCTTCGCATCCCCCACAATGTTCTATGGTACATTGTCAGTGTAATGCTGCTTATGCGTGAAGCAAAAACACGTGTGTGTTGTCAGCTTTAAAGAGATGATGTAAGTCACTCTTGTTTACTGTGCACAACATTGATTCATCTCATTTACAGAATTTGCAGCATAATGTCAAGAAAAGAGACTCCAAAAGCAGGAGGACAGGGAAAATATCCTGGTCTGTTTTTGAAATGTATTTATTTATATTATTATTATTTTTAATTTCCTGAATAACTTTGGCAATGGTGCCCTTTTGTTTTGGGTTGAGCAGTAAGAGAAATGTCTCAAAGGAGTGAAAAGAATGCGCTATTTAAACAGACTAACAGCATTTTACAGGCCGACTTGTTGTCATGGTGGAAAACAAGAAGTAGACGTAGTTGTCAAATTCCAAATGTTTTATTTTAATTTATATCTCAGTCCTATTGTACGATTTGTATGTAATTGAAGAAACAGTGTAATCCATGAAAAAGAGACCTGCTGCAATAAATAATGAGCTTTATAAGTGAATGTTCTACTTGTATCTCTTATTATGTTTAGTAACAGAATCATGAAATCAGACATTACAACTGATAATCTACTAAAATAAGTCCAATAATTCTGTCACCATTGTTGTTGATTTTGTGTGAGGGAAGCTGCCAAAACCGTCATGAATAAAATGTACATTTGTGTGTGTGTGTGTGTGTGTGTGTGTGTGTGTGAGATGCTGATGAGGAACCACAAAGCGGACCAGAAGATGGGCAGGATGCATTCTCTCTGGTTTATTCAGGTTCTTTAGGAAGAGTTCTGTTTGAAATTACAAAATGCACTGGTAGAAACAGATAGAGAAAGAAACAGAGCGAGAGAAGGAGATGGTGGGAGAGAGAGAGAGAGAGAGAGAGAGAGAGAGAAAGGAGGGTTTCGTATCCAGAATAAACAGGAATAACATCACCAGATTCAGATTCAGGCAGCGCTTTACTCTCAAAGGGGGAGTTTTTCAGCGAGGAAAAACCTCCTCCTCCTCCCCCCCTTTTAAAATCATTTTTTAAACTTTTTCAATGTTAGTTAAAGTGTTATCCACCTTCGCATCCCCCCACAATGTTTAAGCCCCGTGAAATAACTGGCGATATAACAAACAAACATTCTTTGATTTCATCACCAAAGTCATTTCCATTTATTTATTCTTTTATCAGGGCGATTTTTTTTCTTTTTTTGTTTTTAAAAATAGAAGAAAAAAAGAAACACATTGCTCTTAAAACCATCTATCTATATATATTTTTACATATATATACTTTTTTCTTTATATTTATTTATTTTTTTGATTCCTGAAGTTGACTTGTTACCCCACATAGTGGCATGCACATTGCACATGCAAATCTGTAATTAAATACTTCTCTTTTATCTTAAATTGCCG